GGGGGAAGAAAAAGAAAAAACAAGGATAACGCTTTCATTAAAATGCATTAGAATATGTCAAACAGAGCTGAAATCCAGCTTCTCCTGAACTCCGGAGCAGGAATCTGTGCTCGAGTCGTGGACTGCATCACAAGAATTTATAACCTCTCTCTCTCTCTGACCTCCTCCTCTGTGTCTGGCAAAGGAGCCATTGCCTTTTTAGGCTGTGTTTTAATTACCATGTAAACAGGCCGTGAGGCAGAGCAGGGAAATGAAGTGGAAGAGCTTCACAAGAAGAGGTGTTGCTGTGTGTGTGTGTGTGTGTCTGTGCGGGCTGTGAGTGTGTGGGCTGTGTGCGGGCTGTGATGGGAACTATTACACACATCAGAGCTTAAATGAGTCATTTTTACTTTGAAACCGTAGAATTGTCCCTAAAAAGTGTGCTAGGACATTGTTTATCAAATGGAGCAAAATAGCTGTGGTTCCTGTTAATGTGATTTTTTTATTTATTTAGTCATTTAAATATAACAATGATTGTATCTCAAGACATAAAAAGAACAAATATCGTCTCATTTGCTCACTCTAAGCTTATGCAAAGTCAATGCAAATTCACTGGTAGCTGTGTGGATACATCTGTAGATGAGAAAGGGTTGCTGGAAAAAGAAAAGTGTCAAATGATGGCTGCCATCTAGTGGCTAAACTCTCTAAATCATAGGTCTCTCGAGTAATATGAGGTCCAAAACTGCTATAAATGTTATTTAAAACGGTCAGTGTTGGGGAAAGTTACTTTTAAAATTAATGCATTAGAATATTGCGTTACTCCATAAAAAAGTAACTAATTATGTTACTTGGTTACTTTTTATGGAAAGTAATGTGTTAAGTTACTTTTGCGTTACTTTTTAAATCTGGAAAGATTCTCCACAATCAACACATCCTGCTCACAAACTCTGGGAAGGATTTGGCTAGAAACTGTGACATCAGCACACTCAATTATCTGCCCATCCATTCATAATCATGTGCACTGCATCAGTAACAGAAATAAATAAATAAGGTCAAACCACATCAATCAATGTAGTTGTGAGAGCATAATAAAGAAACCTCAAGTACCCTTCTGCATAAAAATAAAATTTTGTTAACAATACACATATAGTTGTGCTTCTTATTGCATTAAAGAGACATTGTTCCCTCAAGTCAAAACTAAAATATCTAAAAAAAAATCTCTAATGTACACAGTTAAATAAGTGCCAGGCATTATTAGAGGTTCATTGTGCATGAAAGCTTGTTTCCACCACAGGATATTAAAAAAAAAGGTAATTGTGACTTTATCGCATTTCTGATTTTATATCTCACAATTCAGACATTTTATCTTGCAATTCGGAGAAAAAGAAAATCGGAATTGTGAGATGTAAACTTGCAATTACGAGTTTATAACTTGCATTCGTGTTATTACTATATACAGTAAACTCGCAATTGTGAGAAAAAAGTCAGAATTCTGAGATTTAAAAAAAGTTGCAATTCCCTTATTTATTAATCCATGGCGGAAACGGGCTTCCACAGTTATGTGCTGCTGACTAAATAAAGAACTCGATTTGACCCCAAGACCTGCATAGCCCAAAACTGTGCATGTCTGCTGCATATGGATCAGGTGCACTCTTTGGACTTATTATATAAAAAATAATAGGTATTCTCAATAATGAGGTTGGGAGCTGCAGGTTTTGCATGCGTTTGAGAAGGCTTAGGAAACTCAGAGGCACCGAGTGCTCTTTGAAGCCTCCTTGAGACCCAGAGCGGACAGGATGACAACAGTCTTTATTGTGGAAAGTGCTGTCTGTGCTACATGGGACTGGTGTTTTGTGTCTGGTCTGTGCTCTGTTGCTTGTATATGAAGGTCAGGAGGAACAGGGCGACGTCATGGGACGCCCAGTAGGCCGTGTGTGAGGTCACAGCTGACCAATAGCGGCTCTCCACCAAACCCTCCCGAAGCTCATAGTCAATGCGATGCTCCATCTCAACTGTGACACACACAACAAGCAAGATCAGTATGAGTTCAACAGAAAATAAAGAGTCAAAACAGGTCTGGAATGAGTAAAGGATCTGTGGTCGGTAAGGTTTAATGTGTCTTCTGCTCATCAATACTGCATTTATTTCATTCAAACTGTGAAATATTATTACAATTTAAAACAGCTGTTTTCTATGTGAATGTATTGTAAAATGTAATTGATTGCTGTGACCAAAGCTGAATTTTCAGCATCATTACTCCAGTCTTCAGTGTCACATGATCTTCAGAAATCATTCTAATATGCTGATTTGCTGCTCAAGAAACATTTCTGGTTATTGTCAGTGTTGGAAACAGTCGTGCTGCACAATATTTTTGTGGAAACAGTGATACATTTTATTTTTCAGGATTCTTTGGTGAACAGAAAGTTCAGAAGAACAGCATTTATTTGAAACAGAAATCTCTTGCAACATTAGAAATGTCTTTACTGTCACTTTGGATCAATTTAATGCAGCCTTGCTGACAGAAAGCATTCATTAATTACTTCAAAAAATCTTACTGACCCCAAACTTTCGATCAGTAACTGTACTTCATCATGTCACTGCATTAAGAGAACACAAGTGTTGGTTGTACACACCTGCTGCATCGAATAAAGAGGATGGAGATATGGCTGAAAATGCAAAAGTGCTTTGGCTGTCCTCACTGTCACCAATCCCAGAATCCACAGCCGACGGCAGGCTGGGTGAGCGAGAGAATCGAGAGAATAAAATCCCACCGATGCCCTTGCTGATGCTCGCAGCACCTGCGCAAACACAAGGTTAAAGATTAGCAGACAACCATCTGTCTATTACTTTGATTAGCATCTTTTTCTGTAATACACTTTCACTCTTTGATCTCTACCAGGTAAACTTTTTTTTTTTTTGCTTCTGTGTTTATAAGACATCTATGTACAGTACTTCTATAAAGTATAATATGTGACCCTGGACCACAAAACCAGTCATAAGGGTCATTTTTTTAAATTGAGATTTATACATCATCTGAAAGCTGAATAAATAAGCTTTCAATCAGACTGGTATGATCAGGGAAATCATTAATTAAAAGCATGCAAATTTGTGATTGTGTGTAATGTATGCATCCGTCTGAAGTCAGAAAGTTCAATAAATGCCCTTTATGGACTGGAGAAGTTATTATGAGTTCTGAAAGTTACTGTACTGGTCATTGTATGGGTGTGCGATATTGAAAAAAAATTATATCTTGATATTTTCTGAGATTTTATCGATAATGATAATTAGACGATTTTTTTGAGTGTGTTATTGTGCTGGTATCTTAAGGACTGCGGTGAACAGCTGAAAGTTTTTGATATTCTTCATATTATGTGTGGTGGTCAGTTCACACTGATAGAAATTCATCTTTTCCAATAAGTTTAAATTGATTTTTACCTTTTAATGAGCATTTTACTTTTTCTAAAAGTGTGCTTTATCTTTTGAGTCAAATTCTTACATTCAATCAGTGAATTAGAATAATAAGACATCTGGGCTGTTACCAAGCAAATGAAATCAGTATCAATAAACGTATCAGTATCAGTATCAATCGTTGCAATGTAGAGGAAACGCAGAAGCTGCATCTGAAGTGGCATTTAGATTTATTTACACACTATTGTTTAGTGCAGAACATGAATGCATTTAACCTGCAATTACAAATGCATAAATAATGTTTTGATATATTAAAGTGCCCCTATTATGGATTTTTGCAAATAACCTTTCATGCAGTGTGTAACACAGCTCTAAGTGAATGAAAACATCCTGCAAAGTTTTAAATCTGAAAGTGCACCGTGTATAAAGTTATTGTCTCTCAAAAGAAAGAGTCGACTCTGAATCATTGAAACGAGTCGTTTTTAAAACGAATCCCAAGCCGTTTCATGTTGACGTCAACAT